GGTCACTCTGGCTGCTGAAAGGAAGAGAAGATTGAGTTAGGTTTGAAGCAAGAACAATCAACATTTTTGGGGGCGGTGAGGCTTGGACAGGGATAGTACAGTTGCAGGGAGTTGGAAATGGTCCTATTCTGGATCTAGTTTGAAGAACTGTTTGTAGAACTGATGAATCAGAAGTGGGATGCAAAAAACAAGAAGTCTAGGAAAATGTGGGTTTGGGGTTTGAGCATCTGGTAGAATGGAGCTATCCTTTACAGACATGAAGAAAACTAGGAGGCTACCCAGGGCCTCCCTGGGGCTTTGCCTCTCCTGGTGAATGGCCTCACTCTCTCCATACTTCCTAGTTCTGCTTTCTGAGAAAATGGATTGGGTCAGTATGAATTTGTGCACAAGTCCAATTCTGTACCAGTAACAGAATCACTCATACAAATATGAGATGACTATGGTAGAGAAGCTTCCTTAAAAGAGCCAGATGAGTGATAGGTGCCATCCTGACATTCTCACCACAATGTCCTGGCTACCAACTACTTTTAACCTTCACCTGCCACTCACCGCCCCCTCCCATCTTTCCCCAGGCACCTGAGATTCCAGCTACATTTTATCTGGTACATCTCTAGGCCTTCGTGTCTTTGATCCTGCTGTTCCCTCAAGATGGGACACATATTTTCTTCTGTCATACTTAGTGTACCTACACCAGGAACTCTGCAGGGGTAAAGTGGGGACAGGGTTAGCAGAATCAAAATGAATTACGGGAAAAGCAAATCAAAGTTGGTGAACAGGCCTTGATGGTGTTCAAGATGAGTAAAGAGGCTGCAGGTAGAATAGGCAACTGTCAAGGACTCCAGAGTATGTTTTGGGGCCCTAGGACTAATTTCAAGATAAAATCATCACCCCAGGAGAGACACAGCACAAAGACTTCTTTGCAGACCAACTACTGTAAATAGTGTGACCCTCACTGTCTATTTTGGTAGGAGGGAGACCAGAAGTGACACAGAAGAAGAGGTTCCCAGGGGACCCACAAAAGTACATTTGGGTCCCAGTTTGCTGGATTGGGCAGGGCAGAGCTACCTGTCTGGGGAGACCTGGAGGCAAAGCCAGGTGCTGGAGACCAGATGCCTGCTACATATCATGAAGGTGGTGTTCAATGGGCTACTCTGGCCTAACCCAGTGCCCTGGAACTTCTAGGAATTCTCTTGATGCATACCAAGCAATGGGAGTCATGCTGGGATTTTGTGAGCTGAGTTCTGAGGAGGTTCTCCAAAGTGGAGTGCATACCTTTCAGGGATGCAAGATAATCCAACTGGGTGTGAGAAAAATGTATTAGAACCTCTATTTCTTTTTAAAAATATTTATTTATGTATCTTTAGTTTTAGGTGGATACATTAGATTTATGTGGTGCCAAGGATCGAACCCAGTGCTTCATGCATGCTAGGTGAGCACTCTACCACTGAGCCACCACCCCAGCCCCTAGAACCTCTATTTCTATTTTATTCTTTTTCTATTTTTATGTTTTACAAAATTCCTAATGTGTTAGTCTAGTACATTTATGGAATGTGTGAATGAGTAAATATATATTGGAAAGAGATGAACAGAATTCTATTGCAGATATAAGACCCCTCTTTGGTAAAGAGGGTGGAAGGTGGGGCTGCCATTTGCTGAGGGAGAATAAAGAGGAGTCACAAATGAGGAGGGAGAAGGAAGAGGTTGAGTTTCTGCTAATTTGTTCTGCATAACCCTGAGGTGACATGGGTAAGTTTGGGCAAAACAAGGCTTCTGCATCTTGGTGGGAGGAGGCATCTGGGGATCACTGCCCCAGGCAAGAAGGAAGGTCACTCCTGAACCTGTCCAGCAGAGGCCCAGCTTACAGCCCTTTAACCTGGCAGCTCAGAGTTTCAAGAATGTTTCAAGTGGAAGGAGACTGAGAGGGAAACTGCTGGGGAGATTTCTTGGGGTGGAGAAGGAAAGTCTCCCAGTGTGGAGAGCAGGTGAAAGCTGGGGCCTCTGTGTTGGCAAGAATGGGGGAGGATAGATCTGAGAGGTTGCTGAAGGGCCTCTAAGAAATCTTTGTTGCAGCAGGACAATCTTGGACAATCGTGACATCCTTTTCCCAAACAGGAATAGACACAAGGACAGACATACAGATCCTTCACTGTCATCTGGCACAAGAACAAGGTGTCTAAAAAGACAGTCTCCTCCTACCACAACCCCAGATCCACCCCAGGGACGAATAGGTCCACAGAGACAAACAAAAATCTATTCACATGCAGGAAGACATCCACCCATCACCTACCACCACCCTCCCACCCGACACAGGCGTCTGTACTTGCTCCCAGACCTCAACACAGGGCCACCACTCCCAGCGGTTGCTTGCCAGGGCCTGAGACTCGGCAAGACACTGGGGTCGCGCGAGGTCCGTTAGCAGGCTCCTGGGTTCTCCGCCCGGCTGGCGCTCTCCTGGTGTAGAAGTGAATGCAGAGAGAAGCAGGAGAACCGGGTCTCCGCGGTCTCCACGGTCTCCACGCAGACTACCAGGATAGAATTGCGGCTGCGCGGCAGCAATTGCGCCGGCTGAGGAGCGGAGGGAGGAGACACACAGCACCCAAGACTACCCCCGCCCACGTTTTGAGGGCCTCAGATGTAGCTTGCGGAGATCCTGCACCCTAGTTCCGGATGCGGGGACAGATGCACAACTTCCAAGTTGTCTCTGAAGTTTCGGAAACACTCCTTGACCTGAGGGCCTGGGTGGGTGGAGGAGCGCAGATGCTGAGGGGCAGGCTTGTCTTGGCCGGCCTGCTCTCAGCTGTCGCCTAGAGGAGCCAATAGTTTGGTTGGAGTCACAGTTAGAGAGGAGTTACGGGGATCATTGAGAGGATTATTGGGGATCAACCTGTGCGAGGGGAGGCTGGTCCCAGAGACAGGGAGAGACAAACCTGGAGCCATGGGGAATGACATACAAAATTTTATTATTATTATTATTATTATTAATTTATTTCTCATGTGCACAAAAAAAAGAGAGAAAAGAAAGAAAAAGAAAAAAGAAAGTAAAGGGGAAAAAAAGAAAAAAAAAGAATCAAAACGAACCGACGCATTGAAAGTGGCCAAGGAGACCAGAACTTCGGGGGACCTTTCAAAGATTAAGCCTGGTCCTAAGTCCCGGGAGCTTCTGCCCGGCCAGCCTCACAAGGACTGGGATGGGCTGAACCTCGGAGTTGGGACCTGGGCGCCCTCACCGTCCTTCTCGGGCCACAGGAGCCTGGCTGGGCGCCGGCAATTCCCTTAAATTATTTTCTTTTCTCGCTTTCCCTTTCAAATAGAAAGGCTCGAAGGGGAGAGAGATCTGGGCGAGGACTCCAAGCCTTTTCGGATTTGTTCAAGGATTTTTATTTATTTATTTATTTTCACTTTTATTGACTTTTGTTTCTGTTATTTCGAGTTGTCACGATCCACGGGTGAGGAGACATGCAGGGCGCAACGCCGCTACTGAGAGAGCACTACAGGGCGGGGCGGGGCGGCCCAGTCCGGCCCGGCCCAGCCGCAAGGGGCCAGCGGGGGGACTGGGGCTGCCACCTCTGATCTAGCCTGCGAGGGCAGGACGGCCGGGGCTGGGCTGGGGAGAGAGTCCAGGGAGGGGCAGAGACGGAGACAAGCGAGGTAAGGACGGACAGAGACAGAGACAAGGGGAGAAAAGCAGAGAGAGGAAGGTGGTGAAGAGACGGGAGAGATGCACTGGGGTTGAAAGCGAAAACACGGAATTACAGAGAAATAGCCAACAAAACAGGCGAGAGGAGTCCACGGGACCATGTTCGTCATTTTGCATAGAGATTTCTTTTCTTTCGTAATTTTTTTGTAACATAAAAATGCCCCCCTTCCCGGACGTGCTGTGCTTTAGTGGGCGTGTAGCTGTGTCCCCCCTCCCCCCAGCGAGCGGCGACTCTCACAGCACAGACAGCGGGGCGTATCTACAGGCAGGGCGGGCGACAGGAACTCTACGGGGCGGGACGGAGGGGGAGGGGTTATATACACCGGGGTTCGCCTTCACGCGACACACACCATCTTTCTACAAAGCAGCAGCCTGTTGGTATTTTTGTTTTGTTCCTTTTTGCAAAGATCATATTAAATAATTGTAGACTCTTGCGGTTCTGTTCAGTTCTTGTGGGAAAGGAGGCTAGGGGCGGGGTGGGGAGTAGGCAGCCCCCACTTCCACTCCGCGGCAGCTCGGACTTCAGCTCAGAACCGGCTCCTGCCGCCGGCAGATTGGGAGTCTGTGTCGGGGTCGGGGGGGCACCAAGAGACTGCTCGGGAAGACCAGTGCCCGCTGCCGATGGAAACTGGTCCCGCGGCGGGTCGGGGAGAGCGTCCCACGGGGCGGCAAGTTAGGGACGAGGGACCTCAGGGCGTTGAGGGATGGGCAAAGGAACCTCAGGAGGGGAAATTGGGAGGATGTGAGATGGAAGTGACGCTGAGGTAGGGGCAAGGCGGGGCCGAGTCGAGTCACGTAGCAGGAGGTGCCTGGGCCCTAGGGAACTAGGCAGTCCAGGTAGAGGAAGCGCATCCTAGAGTCGGGCTTGATTGGCGCAGGCCGCTGGGGCTGCATGCCTTGGATCCCAGTCTTGGAAGACTTGACGCCCCCAAGCGCCATTCCTAGAGCCCCCTCACGCCCCCTTTTCCACCTTCTAGGGCTAAGCACACCCAGAAAGCAGGGGGCAGTCCGGCTGGCTCAGGGGGTAAGGAATTTTCTCCCAGGGTTCGGCAGGCGGTTTTTCCTTCTTTTGCAGAAAATCCGTTTTGTTCATTATTTCTTTTGCCCAGCCCCTCCAGCCAAGCCTCCCGGCGACCAAGCGTTTGAGACAGGCTGCTCCGGGGCTGGGCCGCGCTGCAGTCCGCGCTGATTGTGTGTCACAGAAATTTATCCGGCGTGTGCGGCGGCAGGCCGGGCCAGAACCTGCGGGATGGCAGGCCGGCTCTGAGACCGCTGGGCGAAACCCAAGCGAGCTGGGCCCGACCCTCCTCAAGGCGCCGCACAGTCCAGGCAGGCGGGGAGGGGCGGCGGGCGGGGTTGGGGGCGGCGGACCCGGGCCTGAGGGTCCCGCCCGCGGCTCCACTCGTCCTGTCCGGTCTTCGACGTGAAGGGCTGCGGGGATCTTGGGGTGGGGTTGGAATGGTAGCCGAGAGGCATCGCGTCGCGACGGTCCTCCCTCCCTCCAGGGTGGGTGGTCAGACCGGGACGATGTGGAGGCCGAAGCTGTCGGCCTGAAGCTTGATGTGGTCCCCGCGGTAACTAGTGGCGGTCATAGGCAGCGGCAGCAGCGGCAGGGGCGGAGCCCCGGGGGGCGGCACTATAATAATAAGGGGAACCTGGAAGTTAACACAGGAGAAGAATGGGCTGGGTGAGAGGACAAACAGGAGAACAAAAAAGGAAAGAAAAGCAAAGCAAAGATTTCCCCGAGCTGGGGTCCAGCGGGATCAGGGCTGGGAGACCATGGCTGGCCTGCAAGGCCATGAGGAAAGCTGCGTTCACCGGTCGGGAGAGGTGACGCCAGGCTGCGGACCCTCCAGGGAGAGTGACGTTGGCGCATAGCCTTCTAGTGACCCGGGAGGGAGGGGGAGGAAGGGAAGATGCAGGAGGCGCTGGCGTCCTTGAGGGATCCCAGGGACTTAGTGTTGCATTAACGAGCCTGTCCCCTTGGCAACCCAGCACCCGGAGGTTGGGTTGCCGGGAGTGGGACCCGAGTCCCGAAGCGGCACTGCCGAGCTGGCGGGCGGGCAGGCGGACGCTCAGAGCCGCCGGCCAGCCAGGTGACGTACTCACTTAGTAAGGCAGGGTTGCTGAATCTCCAAGCCTCGTTGTAGGCGGTGTATTGGGGGTGGCTGTACGGGTTGCCGGAGAACTCGCTCCCTGCGGGAGGTCGGGGGAGTGGGGGTCAGACTCGCGCACGCCGGGGTGGATCCCCGACGAGCCCTGCAGGTGTTTTTGCCCTTCCCCCCATTTCTGGGCCGCAGGCATGGCAGGCAAGGCAATGGCTGGTGCAGGCCGGTCGGAGGCGGGACAGTCCACTGGGTCCGCGTGGGGCTAGGGGAGGCGGGAAGTACCCATGCTCCCCAGCCCAGGCGCTTCGGGACATCCAGGAAAGGCTTGTTCTGGCCTCGGGAGAGCCCATGCGACTAACTTGGGGGTCAAGCGCTTTTCAAGTGGACACTCCGGTTCTAGGAGCCATAGTCCCAGAGGTTAGAAGAGTACAGGAGAGTGGTGAAGAAAGGCCACTGGGACATTTTGTCCCAGCAAGTCCTAAGAAAGGCATCTCAGCATGTGCCAATGCAAGGTGGTGTGTGTGAGTGTGCGTGTGTTCGCGCGTGCGCTTGCTTCCTTTGCCTATAGAGGTTCTATACATGGGCCAAGCGGCAGGGGAAGGACACTGTAGTAGCAGGTGGGCTGCCCACTGGTCCAAGAGCAGTGAGCGTAGGTCCCCGTGGGCTGGGAGCCATCGGAAGCTTCCTCCCTCCCTCCAGGGAAGAAAGGCCAGGCCTCCGGGTTTCCCCCTCGCCCTTTCTCCTGTGTGATGACCCCAGACTGTTTACAGTGATCCCTAACCGCGGGTTAAGTAGAGGAGAAGGGGCCCCTCTCTGAGAGGGAGCTGGGGTGGGGGTGGGGGATGCAGCCACTGGAAAGCCTGTTTATTGACGAGGAGGGAAAGCATGCGTGCAGCAGGATAATGAGCTTCTGAGCTCAACTGTGACCAAGAGGAACTGAGCTATCTCCTTCCCCATCGCTAATGAAACAAGTGTAATTTCCTCATCAGCACTAGATTCTGTTTAACGACTCCCCCCTTGCCACCATGAGCTCTCTGCGGCTCCCCTCATCCCCACCTCCCTGCAGATTCCCCACCCCCATCTCCCCACTCTTTCTTCACCCCACCTCTCTAAGACCTCCTCCATCCTCCACCTGCTCTTTGCTAGCACCTTGCCCCCCCAAATTTTCTTTTCCCCAGCAATATTTCTACTTTCCAAAATCTGGGCAGGAATACCTTCACCCACACTCCTACTCCTGTCTATTCTGTAGCACTCTGCAGCAACAATCTCCCTTTGCCTTATCCCCACCCTAAGCTCTGCTTACCCAGGGCTACCCCTGAACTGCTGAGGTCAATCACCCTCTTCTATCCTCTCCCTCTCCCCCTACCAGCAAGAGTTGAACTTCAGGGATAGGGCACACAAGAGAGTTGCTAGAGGCAGTCAATTACAGGCCTGGGTAAGGATTTCTCTCTTTTAAGAGTTTTTTTTGGTGTTTCTGCAGATGGGAACGTCTACTCTCTTTGGCTACAAGCCCTGCTCCCAATCTGGGGTGAGGGGTCTGAACAGCACGACCTCCAGCTGTAGTCTTAGGCCCTAAATACAGCCTTTGCCTCCCTGATCCACATAGCTGAACCTGATGCCTCTCAGGCAAGGGGTGGATCAGCCCTGGAACAATGAGGGCCTGGGTTCTAGAAGAGATGTGGTGGTGTCTAGCTTGCCTCTCCAAAGCCAAAGTCATTTGTTCCTGTCCTCTGTCCCTCTTAGGGACTATATCCCTCCTTCCTCTGGTTTGGGTTGGTTCTCCTCACTGGTCTTTCCCTGTGGCTTGGTGTAGACCAGGGTGGCTTTGTCTGAATGACTGACATGCCCCTGGAAATGGTTCTTGGCTCCAAGTTTCCATGGAAACCAGGACAGGCTCTTCCAAGCAGTGTCAGCTGGCTGGGGCACTGAGGGTAAAGCTGAGACTGAATGCTCCTGGGGCACAGGCTCAGATAGGTGGGTGCTGAGGAGGGGCCATGACATAAAGTGGGGTGCACAAAAGGGGGAATTTTTGTAAGCTTCCTCCCTGGGTTGCTCATGAGGGAGGATGAGGCGCAACTGCACCCTCTAGGGAGAGAGGGGGACAGAATAACAGTGATTTGCAGGGAGGGGATCTTGGGTCTTACCTCACCCCCAGTCTCAGACTATAGACCACTCAGCAGCTCACCCACAATTTAATTACCCCCACCTAGATTAGGCAGCTGCAGTATTGTCACCTACCAGGCACCATTCCTGCCAGGGTGGAGGTGGGGTAGCTTCCCTGGCCAGTGGGGGGCACGTGAGGGGGATAACCAGGCAGAGTGGTGCTCGCCATGTCACGACCTGGAAAAACACAAAGGGGAAGGGGTGAGGCCTGGAAGAGAGGGGCCTGCCTCTGCTTGCACCCAGGCACTCCAGGAAGAAGAACTCCTGGAGAGGAAGGACCTCTGTGCAGACATGCACCTGAATGTGCAGGTACCGGAGTGCCTTTGAATGGGTGTGTGTATGTACAAGTGGCCATGTGTACACCTCTGTCTGTGTAGCTCTTTGTGTCTTTCTCTAAGCATTTGTGTGTCTGCCTTTGGCTGTGTCTCTGTGTTCCAAACCCAGATGGAGATGGGAGGAGATGACCTGGTTTTACTCCTCCTTCTCTGCAAGATATTAAGTTGTGGTCTCTCCAGTAGCCAAATGTCTTCTATCTCCCTTCCCTAACACACCATCTTTCCTTCAGGTTTTGAGGACATCCCACCACCAACCTTACAGGGGCTGATGGACATTCCTTGTCTTCTACAAATGGGGCTGCAGGTGCTGGATCTGACAGGTATGGAGGGCCCAGGACCAGCAAGTGAGCTATTTTGCTGTTATTGTTTAAGGCAGTTAAATGAGAGAAAATTATACCAATTTGGATTAAGGGCTTTGAGTCAATAGTGCAAGTGGATCAGATCAAGTTCCAATGAGCAAAATCTGCTTCCCTACCAACTGCTGGGCTTCTTGGACTTCTTCCCTAGAGTCCTCTATAAGCTAGGGCCTGGAGAATGGGAAGCAGGACTTTCCTTTCCAGTGTCCTGGTGTGGAGGTAAAGTGAGTCAATGTTAGGGAAACATCTCTGGTCCATAGACGGTTCCCCTGGAACACGGCTGCATGGACTGGTTTCCCTCCTCCATTGCTGTGAAGGTAGCACTGCACTCGTGGCAACTTAATGTGTTCCAATCATTAATGACAATATTTGCTTCTTCCCTCCCCCATACTCCCACATGCCAGACTGCTCTATCCTCTCCTGGGGTTCATTTGTCCCCTGTAGATTCTCCTTATCCTCACCATCCAGTGCCTCATGCCTCTGTCCAGACCTTGGAAGGCAAGGCATGTACTTCTCCCAGTTCACTTTCTTTCCCTCAGTTGGGCCTTAGTTGTCATCCTTCCCATGGCTATTCTAAAGCATCTTTCTGGGGCTGGTAATGTAGTTCAGTGTAGAACATCTGCCTGGCATGTGTGAGGCATCACAGGGGGAAGAAATATTAAAGCAGAGTCAAGGCATCTTTCTTTGCTACTGTCCCTTTGAAGATGACCTCACCTCCTGTGTTGCTGAGGTGTGTGTTTTCCTGCCCCTACCTTGACACAACTGAGTGATTCATTCTTCTCTAAGAACAGAGTTATAGCTCAGGATTTTTAATTTCCAGCTTCCTACTGAACATTTTCATTAGCTGTCCCACTGTTACCTCAAATCTAACAGGCATCAAGGCTGATTCATATTATCCCCAATCAGTTCTACCAACCCTTTTATATTTTTGTAATACTAGGAATTAAACCCAAGGGTGCTCTACATCCCCAGCCCTTTTTATTTTGAGAATTGTCTTGCAATTTTCCCAGGCTGGCCTTGAACTTATTCAAATCCTTTTGAAGACCAGCAACTCTGGGGTTATTGACATAGCCTTCTTCTTGCCCTCTCTACATGAAGTCAGATACCAGGTATGGTTGATTTTCATTAGCCAAGTTTGTTACATTTGCCCATTTCCATTTCCTCTACCACTCTTAAAACTCAGCTAAGCACTTGATTTTGGTTTGCGCTTGCCCAGTGGTTTTCCTTTGCTTGTATCCCTTGTCTCTACATTCTTATCCCTCCTAGCCACCCCACATGTGGCTTCTTGGCCAGCCCTCATGAAATGTTGCTTTCATCACACCACTTCCCCTGTAAAAGCCATCGTTGATTGGAACCTCTGCAGACTGTCAGAGCCTCCCAGGAACTCTCTCCACTCAACTCTCTCAGCTCTGACTCTAAAACTACCGTTTTAGTTGGACTGTTTTCACTGTGTGCTGTGAAACCTCTGTGCTTTTGCCATCCCCTTTTCTTCTTCCTCATTCATGTTTTCCCTCTTCTTCCTGCTCAAGCCTCAAAATTCCTACCATTCTACTCATCAAAGAACCATTTCTCTCCGTGGTTTACCACATCATTACATTGTATAAATGTGTCATCCCTGTTATTGCATATCCTGGTTTGTTTCTTCAAATAGATCATATGCAACCCAAGGGCAGGACCTGTCTTCTGCTCTCTCCTACATAGTTGGGAACATGGTAAATACTCAATGAATAATTGTTTTTTTAGTTCTCTGTCTTTCCATTGCACTTATAGCCAATTCCTAATAAGGTTATGATTGTTTTAAAACTGTTTCATATATATTAATCTACTACAAAGGGGTAAAGCTGGGAAAAATGTAATGTTTTTATCTTTTTTTCTTTAAAGACAATTTAAACAATTGTTTATGAATCCTTATAGGATGGTGAAAGATTTATAGGGAGAGACTCATCTGTTGTGATTCAGCTTTATCATGCCATAGAATGTTTTTCCTATATCCCTACCTAATATAACTGATATCTCACATTTCTTAAAATTCAAGAACAAATAGAGCAGAACTGCCAAACAAGACATCACTTATGACTCCCAGGGAGGTAGAAGAATCTGTGTTTGCTTTTGTTTTGGATTTTCTTTTATTCACTTTGATTGTCAATTAAAAGTATATATCTCTTGACCATCTTTCAGTGAGTAGACCTGAAGCGGACAATGACAGCAACATTCACTTTGTAAAGAGATTAATAATACGGAACTTACTGGTCACAAAAAGCCTGAAATAGAAGAGAACTAGGAAAGATGTGGAGGTTTTGAAGCTAGGTAGTCATAGGAAACAAATTCCTCCTGTCCCTATGATGTGCATGTCTACAAAGCAGCCAGAAAAAGGAGTAAGGCTTCATCTTAACAAACAGAAATTTAAATGTATCTGAATTCTGGTTTTCAACTGCATGGTTCTCACAACCTGTTGCAAATGAATTGCTCAAAATCTAAGGTTTTGTCAGAAAATCTCCTCCCAAGCTTCAGGAGAGAGAAGAAAAGCTGGGTGACTTGAAAGCTGTCCCCAACTAACCCAGAGGCATTTCTATTGCAAAGTTTATTCCTTTTTCTCTTTTGCAAAGTGGTACAGCCAGGGGCTGGGGGTATAGCTCAGTGGTAGAACACTTGCCTAGGATGGGTGAGGCTCTTGGTTCAATCCTCAGCACCACATACAAACAAATAAACAACAACAAATACATAAAATAAAGGTTAAATTCTTTTTTTAAAAAAAAAAGTGAAAAAATTGGGCTTGGGATATAGCTCAGTTGGTAGAGTACTTGCCTTGCATGTACAAGGCCCTGGGTTCAATCTTCAGCACTGACCCCCTCCCAAAAAAAGAAAAAGTGGTACAGCTAGCTTGCTGAAAGTCACATACTAAACTATTAATTATAAGGCACATTTCCAAATTCTATTTTAAAAAACTGAATTTGGGAAGCACTAGGCAGCAGTTTTTAAAATGTGAGAGAAGAGGCCCACAATGGAAAAAGCATTCCAGCTTCCTAGCGTTTGGCATACAGCTGTGCTCCATTCTGTCACATCATTGTCACTACAAAGAGGTGTCTGTTCAGGACCCCTGAGCCAACAAAAGTGCAAGCCGCTGCATACAAAGCACTTTCAATGGCTTCATTAGTACACAGGTGACACCTGAAGAGCAGGAAAAAATTGACCAAACTCTTCCCAGAGCCATATATTCCTCTGGAACACCATTGTCAATAATGAAAAACACATATTGCAGGAAGTTTTCAAATTACTAAGATCATCATACCATTTGCCCAGCAGCAATCTCTGAGCAAGTCTCCTTTAGTGTGGGAATATAAGTGAGTAATGGAACCTGTGCAAGGAGGATCCACGGAGCACCTGGTATTGCAGTACTACAATGATGCAGTACTAGAATGATGGACAGACAGGAGCGAAGACAGACTCTAAAACTGTAGATGGGCTGGGTGCAGTGGTGCACACGGGTAATCCCAGAAACTTGAGATTGCCTCAAGGTAGGAGGATCATGAGATTGAGGCCAGCCTGGGTAACTTAGAGAGACCATGTCTCCAAATAAAAAATAAAAAGGGCTGGGGATATAGCTTGGTGGTAGAGTGCCCCTGGGTTCAATCTCCAGTACCACAAACAAACAAACAAACAAACAAAACCAAAACCCTCTATAAGACAGCACAGCCACCTCCTTTACACAAACAAACAAAAACTGAGAAACAGGAGAAAATGGCTACACTGCAGAATGCAACAGTTATAAAATATGTGCTATCCAACAGGAGACAGGAAGCAGTAAAGTATTTGCTTTGCTCACTGACAATGCCAGTAATATGAAAACATCACCAGGAATCACAAATGGATAAAAACTCACATGTTACTAAGAGAGAATGGGGCTTTCATGTTGCTACTTGCTTTCTAAGCTTTTAAAGACAAGAACCTTCCAGATGATTAGTTTAACAGCCTTGTTTTAAAGGTGAGAAAATGGAGGCACAGAGAGGCACAATGACTTTCCTCTAGCTACATAGCTAGTAAGTGGTGGAGCCAAAGTTTGAAGCCATATCTATGCCACACTGCCTTTAATGACAACATGCAGCCAGATAATCCCCCAAAGAGCCAAAGAAAAGGAAAAGAAGTCACCTGACAGGCAAGTCTCATACCATCATGCTGTCATTAAGATGAGACAGGAAAAAAAAGGGACACAAAGAATAAATAACTGACATGAAAGGTCTGTAATAAAACTCCATGGGGTGCAGTATTAATCTCCTTTGAGAGTTTTCTGAAAAAAAAACAAAAACAAAAACAAAGAGGCTCTTCAAGAAACAGTAGTAGTTGAGAATTTTAAAGTACTCAAAACTGTTAGATGCACTGTACTGGATGAGGATGGCTTCTCAGTTCAACTGCAGAGTCCCTGAAGATTCTAAAGCCAATTTCTACAGCAATCACCACATCTGAATCAGACAGTGCACTTTTGTCAGAC